TTTATTTATTTATTATTTTTAAAGATTTTATTTATTTATTTGACAGAGAGAGATCACAAGTAGACAGAGAGGCAGGCAGAGAGAGAGGAGGAAGCAGGCTCCCTGCCGAGCAGAGAGCCCGATGCGGGACTCGATCCCAGGACCCTGAGATCATGACCTGAGCCGAAGGCAGCGGCCTAACCCACTGAGCCACCCAGGCGCCCCTGAAATAGTTTTTTAAATGTTTGTTTCATACCGAGGCTACCTGCTTAGTACGTTATTTTTACTGCATTAAAAATGTCTCATTTGCTTATGAAGTGGCTGAAGATTTTGAAGGCTGGAGTTTGGCTTATCAGTCTCCATGCTTAAAGCAGAATCAGAAACAAAGAAGAAGGCGTGGTAATGCCTGAGTTTTAGCTTGGGGCCGTGTACTTTCATAGAGGTGTTTAACAGGGGTTCAGTTTAACAGGGCTCAGTCGAAGCACGCGACTCTTGATCTCAAGGTTGTGAGTTTAAGTTCACGTCAGGTGCAGAAATTACTTAAAAATAAAAATCGTTGTGGCTCAGTTGGTTAAGCGTCTGCCTTCAGCTCAGGTCATGATCCTGGGGTCCTGGGATCGAGTCCCGCATCGGGCTCCCTGCTCAGCGGGAGCCTGCTTCTCCTTCCGCCTCTATACCTCCCCCACCATCCCGCTCATCCTCTCTCTCTCTCTGACAGATAAATAAAGTCTTTCTTTAAAAAAAAAAAAAAAACTATAAAAAAATCTTTAAAAAATGAGTGTAAAAGGGCTGTTTCAATAAATAGTAGTTGAATGTAGCTAAACAGGACGTTGAGGTCTCTGACACTTAAGCAGAGAAGGGTGTGTTCAAGAAAGACATTGCTATTTTGTCACTGTCGATGCTGAGTTGGGAAATGTTAGGAAAAGAAATAAAACGGAAATGTTCTGTCCTAGTAATCATTCACTTTAACACTTTGGACAGAATTCAGTCACATTTTAGATAAGGTGGAATGAATTGGAAAGTTCTAAATTTATTTTTAGTCACGTTTTGTTTGCAAAGTCTACAATGAGTCACCCGGGCCTCCATGCCAGATGTGTGTATGAGAGTGCGTCTGAGTTGATAGAGCAAAATTGGACAGCAGACCGGCCGCTGAGGGCAAGGTCCCAAGCGAGAGTATCCAAAACCCAGCTAGGGAGAAGGAGGCTGGTACCCAGGATTCCGGGACCATCAGCCAAGTCAGTGAAATACCGAGAAGGGGCTTGGACACACAGAAGACAGAAAGCCACCTCGAGATAGGCCCAGAAAAGAGGAACTCGGAAATGTGGAGGCACACTTTGATCCGGGTAGGGAGAGAGACCAGTCCACATGGTTAAAAGCTATGACTGTGGAAACCTCCCCATCCTGGTTTGTCTTTTTACATGTTTAGCCAGTGGCAGTGTCTCACATGACACCCTTCTTCTGAGGAACACAAAGTGCTTTGGACATAATGAAATAGGTAATTTGCCAACTTTACTGACATCCAGAAAGAACTTCCTCTTACATGCTTGCCAAATAACTCATGACTAGTGGATTTATCTATTTACTGTAGCTGGAAACTGTTACCCAGAAATTGTGGGTGTCAGCAGGGCCAAGCTTGTAAGGTAAACAAAGGTAAATGGGGATGTTTCTCTGGATGGGAGTTTTTAGGGTGCATGTTCTACATCCCTAGTATCTCTGTCTCTCTCCTGTAAATCTTTCTTTCTGGTTCTCTATGTACATATTTTCCCTCAGTGAGGATGGATGTTACATTTAAATGTAAGTCAAAGGAAAAAAAAAGCCTTTCTATCTTATAAAATACCGGAACAGTGCCCACACCATACCACACACAGGCCAACTCCTTTCCCCTGGGGACCCCCAGCAGTCATCAGTTCACGCAGCCACACCTACACGACTGGGAGACATTACTGACACATGAATACTTTTTAAAACCGCGTATTCTGGGGGCCTCTGGGTGGCTCAGTGGGTTGGGCCTCTGCCTTTGGCTCAGGTCATGATCTCAGGGTCCTGGGATCGAGCCCCACATCGGGCTCTCTGCTCAGTGGGGAGCCTGCTTCCCCCTCTCTCTGCCTGCCTCTCTACCTACTTGTGATCTCTCTCTGTCAAATAAATTAATAAAATCTTAAAAATAATAAAAATTAAAAAAAACATGTATTCTGTATTCACATCAAAATATGCTCTATATTCACATCAAAATATGCATAATGGAAGTATTAAGTAAAATTTTTGTCATAATATTTTGTTAGAAGAGTGTTTGTAAAGTGATGTTTTTCGCTCAAGAGCTGTTTCATTAAGCTTTATTTCCTCAACTTGATGTATATATACACTTTGAAGATTGTCAACTGATCTTCATTAGCTTTCGAGTTAAAAAGTGATCACGTTTCTGTAGTATTACTTCACTCAGTTTTCACAGGAACTCTGAGGTCAGCACTCAGGTGTGAAATTATTTTATAGACCCTTACTTTATAGATGAGGAAGTGCAAATTAGAGGTTAAGTGACTTGCTCAATGTCATTTCAGTGTATATTCACCTTAAAGTAGATTTCTGAGAAAGGTCGGAAGCAGCTAAGAGCCGACAGTGACAGCCCCCCTGCCCCCCCAGCCTCCCCGCCCCCAGCATGAAGCTCTGCTGCTGCTTTCACGTGGAAACAGCTGTGGCTCCAGCTCAGAGCCGGACAGGACCACCCTCGCCGCACTGGCCTCGGCTTCTGCGTGGTTGCTGAGTCTCCGTGACAGCCTCTTGATGTTGGAGGCCCCAGGGCTCCCATGGTGACCCTCTGCCCTGTTCCTGCCGCCCCGTCCAGGATAGCCTCTGGTCTTTGCGCTTTAAGTACCACCTGTAATGACGGCGTTTCTCCCGAGTGTCACGGTGGTCCGCTGCCTGTAGGACGGCTCGGCTTGGGTGGCTGCCGGGTGTCCGGAGCGTAGCTGGTGCTGCTCCGAGCCTCCCCCGCCGCCCCCAAGTCTTCTCGGTGTCTGGGAAAGGCAGCTCCGTCCTTCCCACTGCGGATCTGAAACCCCAGAGTCACCTGAGATCTTACCTCTCACGGCCCCACAGGAGGATCTCCCACCTCTGCCTCCGGCATTTGTCGGAAGCTGATCCCCGGACCCCCGGGCCCTCCTTGCTCCGCCACCTCCAGGAGGGCGGCCGCCACATGTCCCCTGTGCTGCTACATGGGCTTCCTGCCCGGCCCGGCCCGCTCCTCAGTGTGTTCTCCACGGAGCCCTCAGGGCCCTCCATGCACCAACCACGCACAACCCAAGGACCAGAGTCAGTCATGCTTACCACTCAGTAGGCTCTCCGGCGGCCACCCCAGTGTCCCCCAATCAGTTCCCCTCCCGCACCCAGCTACACTGGCCTCCTTTATGCTCCTTCTCAGCCTTCTATCCTAGGAGCAGTGCAACATTTGCCACGGAAGGGCCTTTGTGCTAGGACGCCCTCTGCCTGGCTGACTCCCAGTTGTTGCCTCTGCGGGAAGGCCTTGCAGTGACCATGCTGTTTAAAACTGGGCCTCCCCTCTCGCCCCATCCCTTCTTCCTGCTCTGTTTCTGTCTCCAGCACTTACCCTCCATCCAACATGCAGTGTAGTTTACATGTTTATATCACTTATTTTCTCTCTGCCCCATCAGAGTCGAAGTTCCTTGAACACAGGGACTTTGATTTGTCTTGGTCCCTGAGGTGTCCCCACGCACGTAGAATGCTGCCTGTCACATAATAATACACATTCAGTGCCAGTAGAATGAATGAATGAATTGGGGCACATCATAAGATGCGAAATATAAAAGGTTCAGCACACACACCGCACCATGTAAATCATGAATGCTAGCCACTGTCAAAATATGTACTTTCTGCACTTTTTTGTTTTTAAAGATTTTATTTGTTTGACAGACAGAGATTATAAGTAGGCAGAGAGGCAGCCAGAGAGAGAGAGAGAGAGGAGGAAGCAGGCTCCCTGCGGAGCAGAGAGCCGGATGTGGGGCTCTATCTCAGGACCCTGGGATCATGACCCCAGCCGAAGGCAGAGGCTTTAACCCACTGAGCCACCCAGGTGCCCCCCTTTCTGCACTTTTTAAACATAAGATTTATAACCGAGTTTCTTGGTGGCCAAGGCAAAAAAGGGCGACTATCCTATTACATAATTCTCATCTGAAGAAAGCGTACTTGCTCTGCAGGGGAAATCTGCGTCTCCTTATTATGCATTCTAAAAGCAACGTGTTACTCAGCACTTAAATGC